CTAATCACAACTGTAGAACCAGAAAACATGAAAAGTCCGTCGGATCCTCGATCGAGTCTGAGATGACTGAGAGATCGAGAGGGACCTGCGCGTTTCTGACACGTTGGCTCGTTCTTAACGAATATTAACGTTAAAGCCGACGTTTCGTTATCAACATGACACCATTCTCAAGGCAAAATGAATAAATAATGCGAAGATTTGATTTCTATAGTCTCTACAAATTAACATAATAACAAAGGATCACAAGTTCTTTAAGTGAATGCCTTTGCACGAATCGAGTCCGCCTGCACGTTTAGCTAGGGATGGTTTGAGTTTTCTTGTAAAGAGCATCTCCTTAATTAGGCAATCAAATTTGTTAGAACCTTTAGTGAGCACGTGAAATTGTTCTGAAAGAAAAGGTGATACGCCCGAGTTTTGTTCGCTAAAATAATGTTTGCAAATTGATTATACCATGCACGATTTAGGAAGAGTGTAATGACCGCATGAAATTTGTGATCTATCACACATCACACAGCACAACCGACACAGACGAGAGGAGGAGTAACCCAATTATTGTCTGATCTGCGGTTGCGTAGTCAACAGCGGCAGAGAAGGTATGGGCCGAGAACCTTGTCGCAAGACATTGCAGGGCGTAACAAGGAAACACACTGAGTGTCACACGACATCAAACGACATCACCGTAGTTTCACAAGGTATCACACTGTATCACAAGGCCTCACATAACATCACAAGGCCTCACACAACAGCACAAGGCCTCACTCTGCATCACAAGGCCTCGCACAGCATCACAAGGCATCACAAGGCCTCACACAACATCACAAGGCCTCACACAACAGCACAAGGCATCACACAGCATCACAAAGCATCACAAGGCCTCACAAGGCATCACACAGAATCACAAAGCATCACAAGGCCTCACAAGGCATCACAAGGCATCACACAGCATCAAAAGGCCTCACACAGCATCAAAAGGCATCACACAACATCACAAAGCCTCACAAGGCGTCACTCAGCATCACAAAGGATCACAAGGCATCACACAGCATCACACAGGATCACAAGGCATCACACAACATCACACAGCATCACAAAGCATCACAAGGCCTCACAAGGCATCACAAGGCATCACACAGCATCACAAGGCATCACACAACATCACAAGGCCTCACAAGGCGTCACTCAGCATCACAAAGGATCACAAGCCATCACACAGCATCACAAGGCATCACACAGCATCACAAAGCATCACAAGGCATCGCAAGGCATCACAAAGCATCACAAGGCCTCATACAGCATCACAAGGCATCACACAACATCACAAGGCCTCACAAGGCGTCACTCAGAATCACAAAGGATCACAAGGCATCACACAGCATCACAAAGCATCACAAGGCCTCACAAGGCAGCACACAGCATCACAAGGCCTCACACAGCATCACAAGGCATCACACAACATCACAAGGCCTCACAAGGCGTCACTCAGCATCACAAAGGATCGCAAGCCATCACACAGCATCACAAAGCATCACAAGGCCTCACAAGTCATCACACATCATCACAAGGCATCACACAGAATCACAAGGCCCCACGCAGCATCACAAGGCCTCACACAACCACACAAGGACTCATACGGTATCACAAGGCATCACACAGCATATCAAAGGCTCACAAGGCATAACAAGGCATCACATAGCATCAGAAGGCAGCACACAGCATCACAAGTATCAATGAAGAGTGAAGTACTTGCTCGGATTGGCTGCATTTTAAAAGAAATGATGTAAGACATGTTCTACTAAGTATGGATTACAGTTCCTTTTTCTGTAACTTGCACCCAAATATTTTTCAGTATTTCAGGTTCCAAAAATGGAGGACACATGAATTTTTGCGGTGTAGCTAAATGTCGTGGGTCGTGGGTGTGGGTCGTAGGTCTGGGTGTGGGTAAATGTAGTGGGTAAAAAAAGTCTTCCAAAGAAAAATTAAAGAATTAAATAGCAAAAAGTTGTAAAATTAATGAAACGAAGATCTCTGCTTACATACCAGTCCTATTCCCCCTTCCCGCGGTCAGCGGTCAGCACTGAACAAATAAGCGACTCCCCTAGTACAAAAGGGGCACTAAAAAGGCTTATGGGTGAAAAAAAAAGGAACTACGTACACTATGTAACACCAGAAGCAAAGAAAAAAAAAACTAGAAACTGAACTGTGTTTTACCAAAGATGTAAACATTCGTGACCGAAAAGTCCGTAATGATATTTAGAATCGATCGTTACAGCACAGGTTTTGTACACAAACCAAAACAAAAAAGAATCAACAAAATTGTATTTCCGTACGGCATTAACATTTACAAAAATGGCCATGTGTGAGCGCAGGCGTACTTCGCTATTAAGGAAATAGTTCAGTTCTATGGCATTACCGGAGCTTTTCGGTTTTATTTTTTAATTCTAACAGAAAAATCGTTGCTCCTCACAGGTTTATGTGGTAAACTGCGTTCCGGCATAAACTCATATTACAACCTCCATAACCTTGCAAGGCTGTGATGCAGGACCATACCTGTATGAGTTCACAAGGTAAGGGAGCTGGTAGTAACCGGATCGGAGTAATTGTAATGTTTGTTTTCATCGACAGAATTCATGTGAAATTTCGTTGTATGTCTGTTACCCACCGAACAGTCACGAGGAATGAACCATCCCTGACAGAAATACAAGTCTCGATCGGCCTGAGGTATATGTGACAGCCCCAACGCACAGACGGAATCGTACACTTGATTTGGTCATCACTAGGACAGACTCTAAGAGTATGGTTGCGAAAAATGTTTCAGCTAATGGGGTGATTTGTCTCTGATCACAAACTTTAAATTTACACCGGAAGCCATTGAATGAGAGACGGTTGTTTCTCGTAGTTCTGGGTTATTGGATTCAGTGGAGAAAACGCCATTCATAAACAGAATAAGGCAAGGATTGGAACGTACGTAAATTGCGTTCTAATCCGCTGGAGGACTACAGGGTTAACGTTCTGGTACAATGTTTGGTTGCTGAACTATGGGATGCCTGATACTAGGCCAAATTAAAGAGAAAATGCAAGGGGTGACAGGCCGCACATCTATACCGGCGTGAAACCTTGTGTAAACCTTTTATATTTTAGCTCTAACGACCATGTCCTTTAGGGATTTTCCTTTCTTGTAGGAAATGATAGGTGGTTCTTTGAAAATTTGGCGAAGTAACGGTTGGTTTTGTATAAGATTCCAGTTTTTCATTAAAACTTCTTTTAAAGTAGACACTGAGGGCTGGTACTGTGTCACGAAAGGCAATATTTCTTTTTCCTCTTTGTTGTTGTGTTTCAGGAGAGCAGACTCCCTCCCTAGCCTGTGAACTTTATATCTGATAGAAGGTTTTCTATCATAGTTTGTGGGTAGCCTCTGTCAATCAAGCGTATTTTGAAATTTGAAATATTTTCCTCAAACGTAGTTTTTGAGGAGTTTGTTCGTAGGATTCTCAAGGCTTCTCCTTTGACAAATCCTTTTTTAACACTCGGCGGGTGACAAGAGGTGAAATGTGTGTACTGGAAGGTTTCCGTTTTTTTAAAATATGTCTTTACATCAAGGATAGATTTTTCCTCTAATCTTGTGCCTTTGTATACAATCGTGTCTAAAAACACAGTCTCAGTGTCAGATATTTCGGCCGTGAATTTGATAGTTGGGTGATGTAAGTTCGCTTGTTCGATGAAGGCTTCGATGTCTGGTTTACTGATGTCCCAAAGGGAAAAGATATCGTCAATGTAGCGTTTCCAAACTGTAGGTTTAAAAACGGTTCTGCTTAGAATTGTCGTTTCAATATGTGCCATGAAAATATTGGCAAAAGAAACTGCTGTCTTTGTACCCATTGCAGTGCCATGGGTTTGTAAGTAGTGTTTTCCATTGAACTGGAAAGAATTTTCTTTGAGGATTAGTCTAAGCATTTCCCTCAGGTAATGTGTAGGAATAGGAGGGTTGTCTTTGTAGAAGTTTTCATATGCTTTGCAGACAATTTCAATGCCCTCGTTTTGTGGTATATTTGTGTAAAGACTTGTGACGTCCATCGAAACAAGAAATGTTCGTTTTTTCACCTTTGTGTTTTCAATAAAATTTATAAAGTCGGTGGTATCTTTAAGGTATGATTTCTGTATTTTTGATATTGGTTGCAGTAATGTATCAACAAAAGAGGAAATTCTTTCTGTCGGACCATCGCAGCAGGAGATAATTGGTCTCCCTGTAATGGTTGGCTTGTGAATTTTCGCTAGAGTGTAGAACTCTGGTATTCTGGGTGGATTAGGTGTTTGAGATAGCCATTTTCTTGTCATGTCATCAATATGATTTTCACGGTGAAGATCTGTAATTAGGCGCAAGACCTTGCTGTGCGTTTCTTTCACCATGGGTTCAGAGAGAGGTCTGTAGTACGTTTGTCTTCGATTTGTATTTGACCCTCTCTTATTTTGTCGGTTTTGTTCATGACTACTGTAGTGCTCCCCTTGTCCGCTTTTTTAAGGTTGATGTCTGTGTTTTGCTTTAATTCTGTTAAAGCTTCGTGTTCCTTGCGTGACAAGTTATTTTTTGGTTTTGTTATTTTTATCTCTGCGAGTTGTGATTTAACTTCTTCCAGATAACTCTCGAGGGCTACTGATGGTTGAACCGGTGGGTGCCAGTCAGATTTAACGTAGAAAGGGTGAACTTCCCTATTTTTTCCGTGGAACATATATTTAAGGCGCATTCGCCTTGCAAAATTTTCAAAATCTCGTAGCAACTGTCGTCGTATTTTGTTTCTGTTAATAGATTTGTTGACTGGTATAAATTTGAGATCTCGAGAGATTAAACTAATTTGCGCGTCAGTTAATTTTCTGTTTGAGAGATTCTTAATATATTTTCCCCCTTTAGTAGTTTGATAACTGACTTTTTTCTTGGAAGATTTTTTTCTCCTTTCTTTGCGTGTGGCAGTTTTCCTTTGTATTTTTCTAGAGAATGATTTCCCTGTAATTTTGTTTGACCCACCCACGGTGTCGTTCACACATTTAACAGACATTTGTGAGTACTTTTCACAATTTTTATTCTCTGTGTCACTATTAAGTTTTGACAAAAGGTACTCGTATTGCTCTTTTAGTTTTGAAGCTAAAGCTTTGATTTCATTACGATCCTCTGTAGTAGATACGTTTACATTTTTGCTGTCCTTGCGGCCCTTACGGTTTGTCAAGGACATTTCCTTATGTAGTTTCTGTTTCTGTTTTTCTAGCCGACGGTAGTGAAACTTAGTTAGGGCTTCGACAAAACCGCGCTCCGCTTTCTGTTTGATGGCCTTAATGTCCTTTTTAAATTGTTCATCTGCCGGTATGTTGGCCCGTGCAGAGTATCTAAGTGGCTTCGGACAAGTGTTCCTTTCCAAATGATTTTTCAGAAGTTTTATGGAATCTTCTGTTTTCTTTATCTTTGCTGTTGTGGTGGTTGGAACTTCGCTTGCTTTCCTTTTTAAATCTTTCTTTTTTGCTTCGTTCTTCCTTAGTGGTTCTTGTGGTGGAGGTTGTTGGTAGCTTGTCAGCCCATAGTCCTCGTTGTCGCTGCTATTTTCGTCTCCTCTACCGATCAGTTGATCGTATTCTGTGTTCAGCAGGCTCTGAGAGGTTTCGGCTTCTATGTTGAGCAGGCTCTGAGAAGTGGCGTCTTCACTATCGCCCTCCATGTTAGTTTTCTGAAGAAATGTGAGTTTTACAAGCATGGTTTTTATGGAAAAAATATTATATTTTTGAGTAGACATATCTCATGAACGGGCTACAAATTCAACAGGAATACGCGTGCAATGAATAAATTGTCTGTTGAACATTTAAAAGGTTCTGTTCCACTTACAAAATTTTCCCTTGCTGAACATAAACTGTACCGAGCCGTATCTTGGTCCGCTATATAGAAGCGATATCATCGTTCAAATTTTAAACTGTAAGATCCCCTGAAAGAGGTCTCCTCAATGGAGCAATATATAAAAGGTTTCAAAGGTTTCACGCCGGTGAAGATGTGCAGCCTGTCACCTCTTGCAAGTTTTAACTTTTGTAATGCTGCTACATAAAAGGCGGATTTCCACAGCAAAAAAAATATTTCAAGACTATTTTTGACATTACTTTCATAAAGTATAAAGAAGAGATTCTGGCTATAACGACAGTAAACGAATTTTTAAGATTTCAGACAAAACCCATTATGCAAATCAACATTATACCAATTACCATGAAATTAGAAGCCACCTGGGAAGATCAAAATATAATTCAAATTTACGGAGTTGATCGGCGTCTGAACTAGACATCAAAAGTCGGCTACGCTACGATAATTTGATATGCTTTTGTGTCAAAATATACTGAACTGAGGTAAGTTGGAGCTACGCAAATCCATTACAGTGTAGGCGAAAGAAGAAACCGCAAATTGTGGACGCAACACACCGTACTTTCGGCTGCATCGAGAAGCCCAAATGCTTGAAGAGAAGCCGGAAAACCTGACCCAACTGTGATTAGAGAAGAGTCACAAATCGCGAAAACAAACTCACAATAAAGCACAATGGAAGTCCAGTAGCTTTCAATTTACTGACCACCACGAAAGGTCTGGGCTCGTACGGTTTAAACTCTTCAGCCCGTAATGATATCGTTAGGTCATAAGGTCGTAATTGTTTCCGGAATGATAGCGAAAACTTCAGACGGGGTCACTGCCTTGCCGCGGAGTGTGTGCACAACGACATCATCACATGGTTGGAAGACAAAAACAAAAAAGGCCTAGAGTTAAAAAGCGATTTGCAAGTGCAGAGGCGAATGGTTCTGTCGCGTCTATCAGATCGTATGGGTTTGCGCATGTCCAGTGTCGTGTGATGTGTGAGGCGTCACAAAATCTCGCTTCATTTACATTACGCCTAAATCGGGCACCAGATGAAATTGATGACGATTTCTGTTTGTGTCCATCAACGCGTTCGTGGAGGTGGCCGCGAGTGTAACCAACATATCCGGCATCGCATAGGTTACATTGAAATTGATAAACTAAACATTGTTGGTTAACAATGGCTGGCTTGACTTCTTGACTTCAATTATGATTGCGAAAAAAATCAATCAGCGGGCTTAAAACTATAAACTTAACGTTTCTTTTGTTCATGATTGTGACTTGCTTGCCGCCACGTTCAGTAAAGCCTGCGTTGCAGGCATTTGAAAGGGAAGGGAAAGGGAGTTTTAGGTGCCGCACCTAAAACTCACTTTCCCGTCCCTTTCAAACGCCTGCCACGCACGCAACGTTCAGTACAGTCCACATATCGACACAAACGAAAAATCATGCAGCTTTGCCTTTGGCACGTTTAGATCTATCGCAGTCAGCTAAAAATTGGCATAAAATTTCACAACACAGTATTACAGGTACCTTTCTCTCTCACCCTCTTGTTTTTGCTTGTGCTTTCCAATAACAGTAGAAAAGAAAAATCCAACAAACAACAAACTTCAGACTGGTCTGATCGAAGAGGTGGCGAGCTCACTCGAATGCCGGCGGATGAATGAAAAAGGCACCGACCGCGTCCTAATGCACGTGATTACTTTAGTGACAGCTGATTGGTACGGTTCTGACAGTTCCTGGCTTATTTCTCAAATAAAGATTATCGAAACCATTATGTTCTCAGTGAAACTACGAGGACCAAATAAGGCACTAGGAGACTATGAATTTCTTTTTTTTCTTTTTAGGTAAACTGTTGAACGTAGACGTTTATTTTCATTTGTGAACCAGGAGGACCAGGAAGGTTCAAGAAAAGGTTCACCCCAGGTGCACCTTTTCCAGTCCTATGCTTGACCAAAAAGCTCGCATAAAATCGCTTTCGATTTTTTAAAGTTCAGCGAAGCGAGTGAACAACAGAGAATCAAACATAGCCAGAGGTCGAAGTTATTCATAACAATTCAATTTAAACCTTAAAAAGGCTGGGCTGTGTTCCCTTGAAACCCCCCAATTTTGTGATCCTCCCAGCCGCTCATAAGCAAGGGTTCCCTAGCTATAATTATAGAATTTTTTAAAATCATGTGGCCGTGACCTCGACCTTTCATATGGAGCTCGTGAACTATTGTTTTGACACCAGATATACCAATATTATGTCGTCACGTTCAGGTCTATACCCTCGGGAGGCTTTCCATAGACTAGCCTCCCCGCAGACGTCCTTTGGGGTTCGTTCGTCACGCATTCATTTCTACCCCACGGATGGTTTTTCTTACGAGCGAGTAGCTCAATTTAATCTGGAGTGGATCTTTAGTAAGTTGGATTCCGGATTCCAATCTTTAGTAGGATTCTGGATTCTTAGTGCTCTATTCCGGATTCCAAAGCCCAGGATTCCGGATTCCACGAGCAAAAAATTCCTGGATTCCGGAATCCGGATTCCCTTACATGGGGCGATCCGTTGCAGCTAAAAAAAACTTTTGTCCTTCCAGGATCTGAATGATTAAAAGCGATTTTCTTTCGTCCGTAATCTAATGTGAAAGTTTCCTGCAATGTTCTGTCACGCTGAGCCCAGCTCGTTAGTAGTATTGCAGGATGTTTATTTCTCCTTAGTGATTTATAGATCCAAATTTGGAAGAATGGATTGCAGTTTAGACTGAAGCTACATTAATTAAGGAGAACTGCACTGTGACAAAATTGCTCTTTAAGCAATGATTTTTATTAAAACTCAAGCTTGTTATTCTGGAAACAATGTGACTCTTAGCCTGCGAGCAAGCTCTCCTATTTGGGCGAGTGAAACAGGTCTCGCAAGAACGCGCGAGGCTCGCTTCGCTTGCCCAAATAGGAGAGCTCAGTGCTCGCGGGCTATGTGACTCTTTGCGCTGGAGCGCGTCATTCCTCCCTTGGTGATTGTACCGTTGCACTTATGTCCTATATTGTGAACATGTCCTCTGACGTAATGTGATATGCAAGCCAATCAGGTCATGCGATCTATCGTGGTAGTCGCGGCATAGGACTGGAAAAGAACCTCCGTTGCAGTTTGGTCTTCGAGCAAAATTTGCAAGTTTAGCGGGTCGGGGAAGGTAGTAAAATTTGTCTTGCAAGGTTAAGTGAACATGGCGGCCGAATCAACAACACAATTTCGGCTGCCAAGGAGAGTATATTTAATGTCGTTTTGGCATTTTACATTAAGAATTCGAAAAAAACAATACCTGCTGTGGGTCGTTAAAGTTAAATTTCACGTTTTTACATGTTATAAAAATATGAAGAGCCGGTTGTGCCGTTTCTACTCCGTCTCTCATTTTCGTATCGATCAACTTAATTTTCAGCCGATATCCATTAAGATAGCTAAGACGTGGTGGAGAGGACAAGTCAAATCGCAAAATATTTTCACCATCTAAGTCCATATACAGATACTCTGCATCTTATGAATATTGTGAACTCGAATAAAAAGCGAACCAGCTTACGAAAATATGACACTAATTGATTCTGTTCATTATGCAAATAAAGCGTTCAAAGACAGGTCTTTACTGGTGATCTTTTAAGCACAAAATGCGTAAGTTCGCTGATTGTGTTGTATTCTTGATTGGCGCAAGAAACAGTTAGAGTTTCCGGTTTTAATATGAAGGCTGAACGGTTGTAAAATCACTAGTTTTTCTAGAAAGGTGTGTGACTTTCGGTGATTGATTGGTAGGACACAGATTGAGTTAACGCAAAATGTGACTTCTTTCCACAGTCCACAGTTTGAGATAACTCAAATCCTGGCCTGAAAAGCGAAGCCTATAAATAGTCCACGATCTGGGAACCACATTTCGCGCCGTCGCAAAATACTGACTATTCAGGGGAACCCAACGATAATTTTCTGTAAATTAGCTGTTCATAGAAGCAAATATTGCCTAGAATTTTCTATCACTTGAGGAAGGCTAAAAATTTCTTACAAAATACGAAACCTAAAATTTTCGGATTCGAAAATGTGATGGAGAGAGGAACCAGAAAAATTCTTACTTTCGTAATACGTTAATCTGCATCTTAAATTTTCGGGAAAATACCGTAAATTTCCGAAATTAAGCCCCTCCAAATATAAGCCCCCATATTTGTAACGCAAAAAATCCTCCGTAAAATCGTCCCTCTGGATATAAGCCCCTCGGGCGTCTTGAACTTGGAAATCGCCCTCAAATACAAAACAAAACAAAGCAAAAATATATAAATTTTTGTCTTTGCCAAAGATCCATCACAAGCCCCAAATGATTGCAGTCAGAAAGTGTCACAGTTTATTTCTGTTTGCGTAGTTTACTCCTCACTCTTGGCGTGGATTTCTTTGGTCCATATAGACAAAGTATACTTGGACTACTTGCATGGCTGTGTTTTAGAAAGGTCTACGTCCTCAAGACGAGTTTCAGTTAAATCTTTCTGCAAATTACTGACATAAATTTCCTTCTAACTATAAGATAGCCCCCTCGATTTTCAGACGCAAATTTCCCTCCAAGTATAAGCCTAGCCGATTTTAAGACGCAAATTTCCCTCCGAAAATAAGCCCCTCAAAAAGGGCCTTTGAAAAATATAAGCCCCGCTGATTATTTTTGGAATTTTACGGTAATATAGCACTGAAGCCCTTGCAAATCTGTTTGTACTCTGAGTAGCCTAAAAAGAGCGGTTTTCAATGTATTTGGGAGGACACCGTCGTTGGGTTCCCCTGTTTATTTGGAAGGACACGGAACGACTTATCTCAAAATGTGACTCTTTACGTTC